CCGGCGATCGAGGCAGGGACCCGCAATACAAAACATGGGGCAATTCCAAGAGAAGAAGAAAATAACAAAGGGCTCGCGACACCTGTGCCAGCTCTAGCAGTTACAACGGTGTTTCCAACTATCACTGCGGAAGCAGTTGTTGAAGGAACAGTTGCAGCAAGAGTTGATGCAAACTTGTTGCAAACACTGTTGCACTGGCAGCCGTAGTTGCAGCAGAAGCTGCAATCACTGCAGCATCACCATCTGCTGGTAACACATTGATACCAATAGGTTGATTTCGATCTTACCATTGTTTTAGCGTGGTGACGTGTGACGTTTGGGCAATAGCATGTTCCCTGAAGTTGATAAACAATGTTACTGTCCTCAATATAGATAGTAACACTTCAAATTTTGTCTGTCACAATAACAAGGAAACATATGCATGTCCAGATAGTCAGAAAAATATTGTAAAAAATGATGAATCCTTATATTTCTGCAAAACCACAAGCGTTCTATAGAGGAAAGTGAACATATGTCAAAAAGTCAGAGATATATTTGCATTACAAATTCTTTAAACCACCATAATGATTTCAACTAAGGATGAATGTACGAGTCTGACCTTTGACAATAAGTGCATAAGAGGGCAACCTCTGACAATATAAACTTCTCTCTCTCTCTTTAAACTTCAGGATCCATGAATCCCCCACAGTCATGACCCGGGGCCTTACTGGGATCGGCGGTCGGGACCCGACCAGAGAGCGACCTTGGGCGGCCAAGTTCCGACTGCAACCTGCGGAAAGTTAAAAAAAAAAAAAAAAAGTAAAAAAAAAAAAAAAAAAATATAGGGTTTTAGAGTTTTTTGTGCTCTGCAACCACATATTTTGCTTTTGGAATTCCACTTGTTTTTTTATTAAAAAAATAAAAAATAAAAAATCCCTAAGGTAAAAGTTGTTCAGTTCAGTTTTTTAATAAGAAAAACAAAGCACTTTATTTTATTTTTTTTATTATTTTTTTTTTTTGTAAGGAGTTTTGATATGACCTTAGGAATTATGCAGAACAGATCACTCGCGACAAGACGCAAAAAATCGGATAAACTCAAACAACGAGGAAATCGAAATGATGATTGAATATTACACATGAATGCGCTCAACCATAACATAGCCATCAAACCCAAGATTCCGCTACACTAACCACTAGCCGTACCAGCGCTAATAGCGCAGAGCGCTAATTACGTGAGTAAGAGGATGATTACTTACTCAATCAATCTATTTATACCGCTGGGATCATAATCAGGTACTTCACCTTCGACAGTCGGTAGTTCCACTGGACCCAACTCGAGCCAGGTTTACTAGTTTCAGACCACGTACCTTCCTAGCTACTGGTCGTGACTACCGGTCCTAATTATTCAGATCAGGCCCAGGGTCACAGACCCTGAATAAAATCGCCTAAATCAAAACCACACAATTACAGTCCGGAGCCAGCGGATAATAAAAGGAAACAACAAAGGAACCAAGTCCAGAACCACAAAAAAACTACATCTGAACAACCTGTCACAAGAAGACCGTGTATCTAGCCCCTGTCAGGCTGGGGGGGGCCATGCAAACTCAGATCTGAAAGGGTCGGCTAAATCAAGACCACACAACTACAGTCCGGAGCCAGCGGCCAATCAAAAGCAACTAATCAGCAAAGAACCTACTCCAAAAACACAGACAACTACATCTGGAGAATCTGTCCAAGGAAGCCCGTGTTTCTAACCCTTATCAGGCTGAGGGGCCCATGCCAAGACAAACCGACCCAATGCCGTAGCTCATTATGCCATCCAGAGTGTCTAACCAGCCCCTGTTCGAATGAAATTACTTGTCCATTTCCAAATTTCGCCACGCCCATGGGCGAAACCTCGCAAGACGCGGTCAAAGAATTTTATGGGGAAGTTCTTCAAACGCAACTCTTTCTTCAGGGTAACAACCCTTCTCGGGATTTCGGATCGAACCATCGTATTCCTATCGATACGAGGCAAGTGGTTGCTGACCACGACACTCTTTTGGGACTTGCTGCCATAAGAGTCGAATGATTGGCCATTCAAGATATCCAGCTTCTCGGTTCCCCAAATTACTGCTTCATTTTTTTACAATTGCACATTTTCGACGAAGGGATACTGGCAATACACCCTCATTTCGCAACCCAAAAAGTCTCATACATTCCTCCTTCCGTCAGTTCTTTTCAAGGTCAAATTGCTCGGATAGCAACCCTCAAACCTCTGGAAAATTATCCCACTCTCGTGACATGCAAGGTGCTCACCACCAACAATTAACCCAACATCGTCAATAAGTCTGACACCAAACACATTCTTACGCAGGCACCCGAGGCTATTCAAAAAGTCAAACTTAGCTTTTGCACACATGATGCAGGCAAGTAGGGGACTGGTACTTTTTCCCATAGGGATACCCACTTGCTGCTTCAGTAGCACAGTCGGGGCCAGTGTGTAAGTATGAGATAATTCGAACTTCATGAACCGAAAGATGTCATCGAACTCCAGCTTCCTCCAATGGTCGTAGCCAGTAGTCAAGCCAAAGGATGCCTCACGTCCCCGGGTGTTAACTCGGACAAAACTACGCTTTCTACAGCGATGGTAATCAAGCAACCACCCGATAGCGGTAATGATCTCGTCATGGGGCAACAAGCTAAACAAGTCCTTAATGTCATAGGACCGTGATTCCAAGACATCCGGACTGATCCTACTCAACCTTCCGTTGCAAATCGTCAGACTTTTGGTCAGCAGGGAAACAACCTTCAAATTGAAGTGTTAGTCCTGCGGAATAGTATTCAGCAGGTGGTTAAGGACTTTCGCCACAGCCTTGCTAGTCTTCGCAGTTGGCTCGGGGTAGGATGGACAGATCGGTCGGAACCGGTCAGGATCCTTATGCTTAGGCAGAGCATAGGCCTGCCCAATGGTCCCTTTTGAGTCCCAAGTGGCAAAGCTCGTCAGTTTGTCCCGTTTAAGATCCAAGCGCATTTGGAGCGAAGTCTCCTCAACATTCACAAGAACCACATAGTAACCCGCGTTTCGGATAAACAGATCCATCTTCTCATCGTAATAGTGTCTGGGGCACATTACGAGGGTGACACCGGGGTTACAGTCAAACGGAGTAAGCACAAGCCCATCAAACTTAGCTCGCCATTCCAGGATTTCTTGTTGCCCAAGACACAGTTTATCATCTGAGTAACACTCCTGCATACACGCACTCAACTCTTCCTGAGTACACACAACAATCTGATCTTTGTGGTTCGGCCATCTCTAAAAGGTCAACTCGATCTCTTTTTTCAAACTTCTCAATCGGTCAACCCGAGGTGGTTTCGACACATTCTTAGCATTCCCCAGAAACTTAGGCACACCATTCAACTCGTGAAGTTGAAACTGCACGTGACGTCTTACCCTTGGGTAAGGCAGGCCTGCACAGGCGCAGGCTAGCACATCAGCACAAGCAAATCTCCACTGATTGTGCATCAGATCCGCGACACTTGGATTCTTAGTCCAGATGATCAGGATTTTATATCGTGCATGTTTCTTCACATAAGGTGGGAGGGATAGCCTACTCAGCTTGTCATTGACTAGCCTACGAATAACAACCAACCTCAAACGATCATCATACAGAAGCCTAACAACCAACTTAGCAGAAAAATTGAAACCAAAGCACTCTTTAACACAGTGGGCTATCAGTCGCCGCAGATATGTTCTTGTAGATTTTTGTTTGAACTCTTTAACAGATGAAAACAAACCACATAACGAGTGCAAATCCCATTTCTTCATGCATGCATATCGCTTGGGGTTCTTAAGCAGAAAAAAACGAGGAAAGGTTTATTAACTCCCACCCGAGGTTTCCACTGCCTAAGGTATAATATCTTCAACACACATCCGAGTTCTATTTGAGCTTCGAACTCCTTTAGATGTCAGGTCGAAGGCCTTACGGATCACACGTCAGCGATCGCTCCAGAAATTTCCCCCATCCACAAGCAAATCGAACGTACGTATCCCATTGATCTCATGCTGACGTAAGATACTGAAAATTTGGACAATCCAGTCTTCCGACGTCGATACTCTGGCTCTGATAGGATTAACAGATCTAGAAATCAAACGAGGTTTAGCGACTGTAGCCCTGTCGCGCTCACGTTTCCCTCTTCGTTTATTCTGTTTGCTGGATTTTATCACGCAGCCAGCAATATTCAAACACGGGCTCCATCTTTCGATGAAGATAGACTCCGTTATCAGCAGATCATGTTTGCATGCCACCTCAATAGGAATAAGCACATTAGATTCGATCCCAAACCTCATCCACCATCGATAAAGGTGAGTTGACTTAGCTTGTCGTTTCCAAACTGACTCGTGTTCCTTCCACCTAACCTTTGGATCTCTAGTTGTCTGCCCAATGTACTGTGATTTACATTTTACAGAAGTGATCACGTAAACACAGCAACCTCTAGTTAGGAAATCTACACCGAAACGTAGGAACAAGTTGACCCACGAATCCAAACACTTGAGGAGCCATCGACAATAACCCAGACACGCTAAGTAAACCACAAATATCGAAACAACAGTTCAACATCCGGGTCTAACAACCATACGTTCTTCGAAAGGCAATGATCACGTTACCGATAGCCAACCAAGACCCTGCAGTCAACCCAATTCACTCGTCCGACTCACAATCAGAATCCTCCTGGCTTGACTTACCAGCATCGTCACCCCCGATCTCACGTAGATCGGTGCCAGAGTGGGTGCCCGGGCCAAATCGAATTTGTGCCCGAGCATCCGCGAGGTCAAAAATTGTTTGTATCTTGGTCGAGTAGGCTACGCCTTCATCTCGACAGAAAACCTTGATCTGGTCGCAGTCCAAGGGGCATAACTCGCGCCTTGTCTGGTCCAGATACATCATCCTCGCCATTTCCAAGTCACACGTCTGCGGCTTCATCTCTGTGCGTGGCATCGTCGGGGCCACACGAACAATCCTCTTCGTGACCCTGGTACGTATACGCCGCAAGCGCTCTGAAAAGCGGATCGATCGAATCCCGGTACGCTTGCTCAATCACTTGGTTGGTGTAATCACGGGTGGGCTGTCACCCACCAGGATATCTTCTCCACGTTTGCGTTTCTCCGCAGCGACCAACTTGTTCGTATCATCGCTATTCGTTACGATCTCCACGGCTTCGCTGCTGTTCCCGGAGGTTGATGGTAGATCTTCGACTACGGCCTCTTTACCCTTAGCAACGCACTTCCTGACTCCGCTCTTAATATCTTCATGGATCAAACTCAAGCGCATGGCTAACTGCAATTCGACCGCCTTTGTCATAGCCAATTGCTCCTCCTCACAACGCCTTTGCTTCTCTCGTTTCTTCGCGGCCCTTGCTTCTTCGGCTCTCCTTTCTTCTTCTTCACGTTGTTTTGCCTCCTCCCTCTCCTGTCGCCGTCTCTCTTTCTCGGTCTGCCTTGTTTTCACAAGGTCAACAAACTCCCGGAGCTGCTGGACGCTTTCCCCCAATTCCTCCAACTTGGAGGTAGTCTTCAAGTCCACCGATGGCGACCTCTCCAGTGATGCGTCGTGGCTCCTCCTTGGGGAGACTGATATTCCGCGCCGTTCGTGCTCCGGGGGACACGTGTACCCATCTCGCTTCGCTTGCCGTCGGGACAATGGATCGGCCCAACAGTCACTCCGATAATGCCCGAGCACCTTACACCCGAAGCATATCGGGGGTGGCCCGGGTCTACGCCCGCCATCGTTACCACCTCCACCAGTCCTTTGCTCCCGTCGATCCGTGTCGGAGGAGCGTCCTCGATCGGGTTCATCTTGGCTCCTACTTCGGCCATCGTACGACCGCTCCCGTCGATTGCCCCAGTCGTATGAGCATTCACCTCCGCCCATGTCTTCACGCTACCACCTCAGTGCCAACACACTTCGACGTCGGCAATCATTGATCCTCCAAACAACTTGATCATCGCGTGCATAACGTAGGTAAGTAACAAGAACATTAACGGTTCAACATGCTCACTCACTCCTAGTCAAGATCCCATGTAGGTTCACACGCACGTTCATAGGAATTATGCAGAACAGATAACTCGCGACAAGACGCAAGAAATCGGATAAACTCAAACAATGAGTAAATCGAAATGATGATTGAGTATTACACATGAATGCGCTCAACCATAACATAGCCATCAAACCCAAGATTCCGCTATACTAACCACAGCCCGTACCAGCGCTAATAGCGCAGAGCGCTAATCACGTGAGTAAGAGGATGATTACTTACTCAATCATCTATTTATACGGCTGGGATCATAACCAGGTACTTCACCTTCGACAGTCGGTAGTTCCACTAGACCCAAGTCGAGCCAGGTTTACTAGTCCAAGACCACGTACATTCCTAACTACCCGCCGTTGCTACCGGTCCTAATTATTCACACCCGGCCCAGGGTCACAGACCCTGAGTAAAATCGACTAAATCAAAACCACACAATTACAGTCCGGACCCAGCGGACAATAAAAGGAAATAACAAAGGAACCAAGTCTAGAACCACAAAAAAACTACATTTGAACGACCTGTCACAAGAAGCCCGTGTATCTAGCCCCTGTCAAGCTGCGGGCCTCCATGCAAAGTCAGATCTGAAAGGGTCGGCTAAATCAAAACCACACAACTACAGTCCGGAGCCAGCGGATAATCGAAAGCAACTAATCAACAAAGAACCTACTCCAAAAACACAAACAACAACATCTGGAGAATCTGTCAAAGGAAGCCCGTGTCTCTAACCCCTGTCAGGCTGAGGGGCCCATGCCAAGGACAAAACGACCCAATGTCGTAGCTCATTATGACCTTAGGACAAACGTTGTTCGATTTATTTTTATGCATAATAAATTTTGTTTTTAATTTTTTTTTTTTTTTTTTTTTTTTTTTTTTGCAGTAATCTGGACCCCCGATCATAATCAGGGACCACAGTCCGGTCGGCGTAGCCGCCGCCCCAAGGGATTCATAGTTCAAGGATAGAGAAATAATCAAACCTTCTTTATGTCTCTGAACTCCAAGACTGGAGAAAGAATTTGGCCACATTTCCACGCTAAATCTCGCGTAGTTCGCAGCCCTTAGGCTGCGGTATAGTGGGCTTCCGCGTCTGTGTCAAGGTGTCGCATTTTTTGCAGCGGGCGACCAGGACGCAAAGTGGGTTCTTAGGGGGCAAAAAAATTTGGGGGACCAGTCCTTGGCAAAACTGCGGACTACCTACAGCTAGCTCTGCTAGAACCGGGACTTTTGGAAAAAGGAAGGACCGGTCCTCAGGTGAAAGTGGACCCCAAAAAGAAGTGGGGGGCGTTGGACCTGACCCCGGGTAGAAGCGGACCCCAAAAAGAAGTGAGGGCACGTGAACTGCAAAAGCGCCCTCAGGCCCAGGCATTAAGCCCCGTCTTCTCAAAACAGGGAGGTCAGGCACAACGAAATAGGCGTTTTGCAAGAGGCAACTTTGGCGATTTTCTTTGCTCGAACGAACATGCACAATAATCTGAAATTTTGAGAATCCATAAATGAGGACATGTTCTTTCCAGAAATAATAACAAGTGGCGCACAACAACACTCGCTGATGGCGTCTCATTTTTCTTTCACATCTCTCTCTCTCTCTCTCTCTCTCTCTCTCTCTCTCTCTCTCTCTCTCTCTCTCTCTCTCTCTCTCTCTC